ATAAGACTTAAGAATCAACCATAGCACAAAAAGACTGCAGCCTTACATAATAGCATTGCTATTATCTGGCACACAGAAATGAGGCCATATTTCACAGCAAAGAGCACAGATTTTCCTGGTGACTCGTGTGTAACCTTCACTACCTGTCCTGATGTCATATCTAATATGGGACAATGGTAAACTGCAGCTGAAAACAGGAAAAGTACTGAATACTCTTTAAAGTGGGGGCTGAAAAGATGTTTATTCTCTGCTTTGGTTTCAGAAGAATACTGCAAAATTTGTCAGTCATACAATGACTGCCCTTTCCCTCACCTCTCGCCATTCCCTTCAAAATATTCACAGAAATTGGGAGCAACACAGGAACTGCTGTGCTGAGGCAGTAGGAGCAGAATACAACCAATACTTGGTCAGAATATTTGGCCAGGTCTCCTGAAACTGAACAGGACAAGCTTGGAGCTATCTTGCAATAGTGGTAACCAAACTGCAAGTACCAGATTAATCAATTACAGTTAATTTTTTTCAGAAAAAAAAAAAAAGAGAACATTCATGAAATTGTATTTGTGATGTACTACTCAGTTTCTAGAGCTGTTAACATAAGAAACGTTAACAGAAATATGGGATTTGATATATTCCATAACAAAAAACCCAACGCTCTAACCCACTGAAGGACAATTCACTCAGCTGCTGTAAATGAACAGAGTCCATCAATCTCAAACACTCATCTGAGTAAGCCAATTAACCGTGATCACTTGTGGTGTTGATCGGCATCAAAATTATTGGAATCTACATTTCCTAATTAAAATAAAAGAGTAAGTTGGGAAAAAATATTCTAACTTATTCCAAAGAAGATACTGTACAATAAGAAACAGGTAATATTCAAAGACTCATTGGTACTTTGTCCTGTGATAAGTAGAGTAAGTGCAGTGACACACCTGGCCACAAAATATCCTCCACAAGTGCAATAATGTTGAGCAATCTGTACTAGGATACTGATATTTGAATACTTTCAAAAAATAAAAACAAAAAATCTGCTGCTAGTGAGTGCAACTGAGAATGAAATGAAATTTAGAAGCCAAAGGATACTTAAAATTCCCCATCAGCACATTCTACATGAAGTCATAAATGGTACAATATGACAGGAAAAATTGTATCCTAGCAGTGTCCAGGCCATGCAGTCTGCACACCAAAGTAGCACATTGTGTGTTCTGTATCTGATTTGCTCAGTGGTTTAGCTCTCTTGTGAAAAAAAAAGAGTGATGGGCTTCAAAGTATGCCTTCAGCTTGTGATCACAGCCCTCAATGGATAATAAGCAAAGATCAGGTGATGAAAGCTAAAGGATCCACAGAAGAGACAGAAATGTTGGAAAATAACAAGGAAACTGAATTACTCTAGTGAGGTGCAGTCCTAGAAATCAATCCTGGAATTTTCAGTCTGCACCTTCTAATAGTGGATTCCATTAATAAATACAAAAAATGAATAGAGAGCAGCATCTGCATCCACAGCAAGGGAAATAAAAAATAGTAGCCCTCAAACACACTAAAATGGCAATGATAGCAGAATGTTTCAAATTGTTAAATTGTGACTAACACTTTTAAAAAGCAAAGGAATTTTAAAATATTATTTTTTTTCTGCAAACCTACATATATATGTACATACTTACACACAGGCAGATATAGACAGTTGGGTAGAGCATTTTCTTTTGGCTAGTTTCTAGTCTAACTATCAGTTACAATGTCTATGCATCTCTATAGAAATTATCTACCTCTTTCTATTTACTAAATGAAACTTGAATAAACAGACATCAAAGACGGGGGAAGTATAAACTTTTCTCTTTGCTCCTCATTTTTGACACAATGATGCAATACTGCTTCTGACTTAAGGAACTGCTCCTGCATTCCTTCTCAAAAAATTTCTCTCATTTGGGGTAGCAGTCTTTTATTGTCGTAAGAGTTTTGATCAAATGGAAATTACAATAATGGGTATTCCCTTAGTTAAAGGAAGGTAAAAATGTCTTGGAGGGGTACCATGCCTCTCCGAGCCACCTGAATAGCACACTTTAGTGGTCTTGTCAAACCACAAAAGCTGTGGTGCTGGCATGGTTCTTCTCTGGACCCCCTGGGGCATTAGTACCACAAAACTGCATATTTATGAATACATACAGTTTGGGGATGAATACAGGACAGGGAAAGCTAATGAGGCCAACAGGCACCATGGATCAACACTCATTTTTACATTGGGACCATATATCAGACTCTGATACTTGTACAGCAAACAGTGGTTGCTTTTCATTTGGCTCTAGTTTGAAAGAAGAAAGGTAGTAAAAGCCTAGTGCTTTTAAATTAGGTGTTCAACATAAAGTAAAAACAGGCTCTAAATAACCATTGCATGTCTAAACTCTGTTAAGAATTTCCTATACCACTGCAGTGCCACTGAGGATCAAGACTTTGGCCATAAAAATACACTTAGCTGTATTTTACATGATTGTTGCATAACGCATAGCTCTAAAAGGTCAGCTCTAAAAGACAGATTTAGTTAGTATTGGAAGCCTAAAAACTCCACTGATATAGACATTTGTTAAAAAGGTTTCATGCAGGTTGCAGATGCCCAAAGAGATCAAGAGCTGTAGAAAAACATCTCTTAAGAATGGGGTGAATATAACATATAGAATGTTGTGTATATCTTTGCTTAACAGTAAAAGCCAAAATACAACAGCCTTCAGAAACAAATTCTAATGAATATCATACATACATCCAAGAGGACAACAGACTGAATTCATAAATAAATGTTTCCTCTCATAATATGTGTCCTCTGAGGCTTTCAGACAAACATACTCCCTTGATATGCTGTTTAGCATCATTTTCAGAAAAAAAAAAAGCTCTCTACATCATGCTGTATTGTATCCTAACTTAACAGTTAAAGGACATCATTTGCCAGAGTGAATTAAGGTATCTGACAAATGAATAATCCAAAGGGGAACAACAGATAATGTGTTCTCACATTAAGTGATCGCAATGGTTAACAATCTCAAAAAATATTGATTCCGGGAAAAGTGCCTTCTTAATGAAACCAACAGCTCACATAAAGATACTTTAGAGAGTCAAATTTCTTATTATTTATTTTGATGAAAATGTTGTTTCCCAGAATAAAACATCTCATTTTTTGAAACCTTAATCAAAATCTTTGTATATATATGTGTTATTTATTTTTACAAATGTTTGATTTTTGTACTGATATTAGATGCTCATACAAGCCAAGTTCCTGCGGTCCAAGCCCAGTGAAAGCAATTGCCCTTTTATGAAGGAAATGGTGGAAAAGGCTGTAATTTAAATTGCTGAGTAGTTCTCTGTCCATTTTTAAAAAAACACAGAGCAGTTTTTAAATTTCTACATCTGAACCATAGCTGGAAGACTTCACAGGGGCTGCAGAGACAAGAAAAGGGCATGGGAGATGGGATAGGACTACCCTGCAAAGCCAGCCTCATGCTGGCTCTTTAAAACTGGAAAACTGAAAAACTGAAGCTGTAAGCATTTTTCATGTTCAGTTCCACAGGCTGAAGGACTTACATTGGTTACTGGAAAAAGAAGCCTCTACCACTTGCTATATCCTCCTTACAGCCTGTCCTCACATTTTGCTCCCATGATAAGTTCCTTCAGAAAAGAACTGGACAGAGAGAAACAAAAGAGAAAGACTGAAGTAGGTAGACAGACAAAAACAAAGACATCACTTATACTGGACATGAAAATTGGAATATTTCCCCCACCCATCACTCTTCTGCTCTGTTATGCATTTCATTATGTACAGTCCTGGCCTGAGACATGGACTTCCCTGCCACAGCCCCAGGTAATGGCAACTGTAAGCTTATTAGACCATTACACTGGAATGAATATCCTTTGCCACAGATCTGCATAATCTACTTTTGGCATCTCTATCCACAGTATCTAAGTACCACTGGTATTTCCTGCCTGGCTTCCTATCTATTCCCCACCCATGCATGATGATATAGGTCTAAATCACAAGATCTGTAATAATAACTGAGAATTACAGTGCTCTAACCAAATGCTCAGAAGATCCCTGCACTGTCATACTCCAGCCTCTGAATAAAACGCTTGTCTGCCATGCAAATTCAATACTGTCAGCAATTCTGTAGGGAGAAGGTAAAGGAAAAAGGCAGGAGAGGAGTGAGCTCAAATGCACCTGACGGTGAATCCCTGTCTTAGTCCTGGGCAGCAGTCCGCAGGAGAAGTCATGCCAAAAGGCCTCTCTAAAGCCTCCAACACCACCATTTCATACAATGTACAATCTAAGTGATTTACTATCGCACACTCAACCTCCTTAGAAGTGCTGTTACTTCAGTGTTGGTACTAAATACATAGATCAGATCTCAACAGGTCTACCAGAAACTAGATGGAATTCATTGCTTAACTTCTGAAGAAACCAGCCATGTACACATACCCACCTAACACACACACACACCACACACATACCCACCACACGCACACACACAAAGAGAAGAGGACGCAGAAGATTAAATGGAAAAAGGACAACAAAACAGTTAATTTCAAATTTTTCTTTCTATGAATTTGAAAAAAAATCCCAAACAACAAATCACTGCAGTGAAAATAGTTTTATTCACAGCTGCTGTGTCAACCATTATTTTTCTTAAGTTCCAAAGAGTAGCTCCCTGAAATTATACCGGCCCAGAGACAATCCAGGTATACACAAACATAGTGGAAATATTCAGCACAAACTAAAACAAGGATCTCACACATCATACTCTGTGGGGCCTCATTTTTTTAAAAGAAGAAATACATTTTTAAAATTACAACTATTTCACATAGAGAGGTGAAACATGTTTCAGTAATAACCACAATCATATCCAACTGCATAAGAATACACAGTAAGGAATAAAGAATCTTATTTGAATGAGATTAAAATTATTTCATAATATTAACCCATAGCAACATTCAGGTGATGTTTTCTATCAATAATCAGAACTTACCATATTGATTGGGTCAACTGGGCCGATGCTGTTTACATAGACATCTGTTTCAATTACCGTAGTTCTCACTAAACAAAACAGTAACCATAATAATAATATATTTAATTAACTCTGTGCATTGTTAGTGTAATGTAATCTATTTGACTAAATCAACAACATATCTGTATTCTTTTATTAGCTTCAGAATAATTAAATTTTTGCTCTGTTAGTACTTTAGAGGATCATATATGACTTGGCTCCCTTATTTCATATGAAATGTTAAAATTATCAACTTCAATTTTTTAGTTCATAATGCAATACCCACATATGCTTTGTGAACAAATGTAAGATAGATACAAGAGGTAAAGGAAGGAAAAACAAACAAATGAAACCTCCCAAAAACTGTCTTCCAACTTAAAAATTTATGAATAAACAGAAAAAAAAATGTTTGGAAAATTTGTTCATACAATAAACCATGAGATCTGGGAGCAAATGTGTTTATCATCTGTAAGGAATCAATATGAAATGCTTTCTATCAATTCCTACTGAGAACATGTAACAGAAATAAAATATCTTTTCACCACAGATTTCTTCAATTCATGAAGCTATATCACTTTATATATAAGGGTATTACTTTATGCCCTTTCATCAGCGTGGTTAATACACCATTTCAAGTACCAAAGTTAAAGCCCCTCAAGTGACAGTCATTTAAAAGTTAAACATTACCAAACTTATTTTGCTTTAAAAAGACTCTCACTGCGCATATAAAGAAAAAGAGAACTTTTAAAAATATATTCTCTTACAGAATATACTCTCTTATTTTGTGCATTTACAGAAGAACACAAAGTCTAAGTGATTTCCACGAAAGGCACATCTGAAGTACAGGAGGCACTTATAATTCAGTTTTTTCCTCCTAACTGGTTTATACAGAAAAAAGGCTCTAACACAAGAGGTGAGAATGCATTTTAACTTCATCAGTTTACCAGGCATTTTTTTCTAGCTTCTACTGGAGAGCCAGAATGTTGACACAAAACGATATATGTCCTACTACCCAATAGAAAGGAGAGGGTTAATAATAGAGCTCTGTTGGTCCTTTCACGATTTGACACAATAAAATGAAGCATCTTGTTCATCTGCAGATGAAAAAAGGGGAAGATACAAACAAAAAGGCATTTTGATTTCATAGAAGAGGGACCCTAGGTCATCAGATTTAATTTCTTTATACTGCAAACCATTAGAGATCGCCCAAGTGCTCAATAACAAACCTAAAATGTTAAGCAAGAAGGTTTTTTAAATCTCTAAAAACTTGAACAGACACACAGAAAGAAAGAAGGTATCATTGACATCTTTGCCAGTTAGAATGACAGGTAAGACACTTCCTAAATATCTTAAGATACCTTTTATCTGCCAAGATCACTTGAGAGGAAATTCCTCCCGATTCCAAATCCAGTTACTGGTGTAAACCTAAGCCTGACAGAAAGACAAACCAGTGAGGCTGCACAAAGGATTTTTTATGACCACACAGCATAAAGTCACTTGATCACCATCCTGTCCCCAGCATGCTTCACAGAAAGTTTAAAAAGATTCTGGAAACAAATTTATTTCCTGGGGGAAAAAACTAAGTACTTCCTGAGATGATCCCTGTGGGTCCCTTCCAATTCAGAATATTCTGTAATTGAGCTGCAAATGTTTTTAGTTTCTGCAGAGCTCATAAAGGAAGGGGGAAAACACAAGAACTCATATGCACAAGTTGAAATATCAGAGTAAAAAGTTTATAATGTGTGTGTGTATATCACAGAATCACAGAATATGCCAAGTTGGAAGTGACCCACAAGGATCACCAAGTCCAACCATTAGCCCTGCACTGGACCATCCCCAAGAGTATCACCGTGTGCCTGAGAGTATTGTCCCAAGACATCTTGAACTCTTTCAGGCTTGGTGCTGTGACCACTTCCCTGGGGAGACTGTTCCAGCTCTGGGTGAAGAACCTTTTCCTAATATCCAACCTAAACCTCCCCTGACACAACTTCAGGCCATTCCCTCGGGTTCTGTCACTGGTCAGCACAAAGAAGAGATCAGAGCCTTCCTCTCCTCTTCCCCTCACCAGCAAGCTGTAGACTGCAATGAGGTGTCCCCTCATACGTACTATGTAATCTATTTAACATACACCACACCTCACAAACAGATAATTTTTTTTCTTTCATTTTACCACCCTTTAATTTAACTGCTGTTGTTTACATAACAGCAGCCCCACTGCCAGACCAGAAAACAAGGAGATGGATCAAAGGGTGTTTTGACTCATTGCTCAAGCAATGCTGAATAATTTACTATGCAGAATCTCTCACCTTGAAATCCAACCCATAGGTTTCTTCCCCTTCCACCTCCTTTTTTTTCCCCCGCTCAATTCTCATATCTCTGGTTATTCGGAAGGAGTTGATTACCCTGTAGATGCAGCCTCTCCCTTTCCAACAGCCTTGGTGTCATCTACCAACTTTACTACAAAAATGAATTGCAGAAGTCATTCGAAATACCATTATTCTTGATCAAGACTTTCCTATGAGGCCCCATTATAGGCAGCCCAACCACTGATATTCCTTATTAACAACTAAATTTTGAGATCTGTCAGTGAGCCAGTTTTTAATGGGGGCTATGTCAATTTTATGAAATTCCAGCTTGCAGCAAGCAGTACTTCATCTGCCACAAGGGCTTTCCTGTAATGAGTGAGAGTTCGTTTTTCCTTTTCCATACTGCTCTGAGTGAGATTATTAGTGGTATTAAGAGCCAGTGAAGAGTTTGAAAATCTGCCTCTGTTGAAATTATTTTAATTTACCAAAATAAGCCAGCGAAAGGAATACAATTCAAGAAGACTGAAATAATCTGTTTTGTTACATTAGTTCTTCTGTATGGTACAGAGCAAAGTACTTCTGAATTAGAAGAACTAATTCATTCTTCTTGTGTTCTTGAACCAGAAGTGATAATGCAAATGACAAATGCTGGAGGAAAATACGTTCTCAATAATAATTTAACATCCATATAATTACTATTGTTCATTTTCTCTCCACAAAGAGCTAACAACGAAAGATGGTTTGAGAAGATTTTTCTACTATGAATGCTTCTTATTTTACTTTAAAAATTTTATATCAGCCCTGAAAACAGTACAAGTAGGAAGAAGGTGATATAACACATCCTATATGAAGTGCAAAACAGCACTGTAAACTTACAGAACCTTCTAAGCAAGGGGAGAAAGGGCTTGCAGACTTTAAAGATTTACACGGAGACAGTATGACCCAGGCTAGAGTAAAGGAAGAAGGTGAGAGGACAACAGATTGAATATTCAAGAGGGAGGGAGAGAGAGAGAAAGAAGAGCACCAAGAAGCAGTTGTCCACAAGGGATAGTTCACCAGCTCCTAACATAGCTGAAGCACATAGGAAACCTCTTTGGTAAACCCAATCTAGAGAGACCTACCCACTTTCTGATTTCCTGCTTTGACACCTTTTTTTCACTAGACTAAACTTCTTCTGGTTTTAAAAATGTTGAGATATATTTATTTCTTATTAGAGAAATCATAGTGATAAAAATCTACCCCTATTATTGACAAATCATTTTAGTAATTGGCCTTACCACCCAAAGGGCCTCTTTTATAGCCTGTATTTTGCCAGGCCCAATTTTTAGCTCTTGATATTTGAAATATCTCTGCCTGCTACACTTAAAAGCTCTCCTTATCATCTATTCTCAGTCTATAAACACCCATCTCCTGACAGAAATTATTATCATCAATGAAAAAGTGCAGAAAATTGCACTTTTTATTGCTTAATACTGCTCCATTTTCATTACTCCAATCTATTAGTTCAATTCATTAACAAATAGCATGTTAGTCCATCTAAATTCACTAACCAGTTCCCATAGTTTACCACAATTCCTTCTTTTTCTAAGGAAAGTCTAAGACATATCACTTTTTTTTTAAATTAATACTTATCATACTATTTAATTTTAACTAAGACCATTTTTGATAATTTCATCCAGGTTTATTTTCTTTGAGCATGTTTTCTAAAACTCCTAATTAATCACCTAAAGAAGCATCCCCTCTAGGTGATAAAGCAGTTAGTCAGCAAATAAATTAGGTGACTATCACATTCAGAAATAACAGAGGCCTTAAATTTGTAATAGCTTTTAATGGAATAATACAATTCTCACAACCAGCTATCTAAGATTACTACTCTTATGGTTATTTATATTGAAAATTCAGCCTCAAGTGTCTACAGCAGGCTTCCAGCTGCATCTTTGAAGAATTTTTCAAAGTGATTTTGATGAAAGCAGAGCCCTGTCCTCCACACTTTTTTACCTTTTCATGCAAAAGAAACCCATCTTTAGCAAATACTCCTATCCCACCACTTTTATTATTTCCATCATTTTCTATGCAGTGCACACATCCAGTACCTTTAAATTTCACTGAATATGCTCTTCTACATCTTTCTCTTCTATTTTGATTTTCTTCAGTTCTTGGAAAATATTCTTCAACTAAAAACACATATCTCTCTATCTTTACTTGGTATTTTCCTACTTGATCAAGTTTATTAGTTTTCTGCCTATATCATACTTTCATCAATGCTACACTAAGATCACTGCTTCAGTAGAATATCCTACTACTCTTATTTTTTTTCAAAATTAGTGCTTCCATTAGTCTCTTGAAAGTCCAATTTTTGTCCATGTATTCTTTATATCCCAGAGAACAGGACTTTCCACATTAGTGCACTGAGATGCAATTTCTTACCCAGGTCCTTCTTATAGGGCAGTAACAACCATCCAGATTTCTCTAGGCATCCAATTTCTGTATGTCCATGAGCAATTATCCTGACCATTCTTGAAAATTCTATCAGTGATGACTTGCCTCAAACTATTGATTGAAACATTCCACATAAGTTGTAGATATGTGATGATTATTTCCTATTTTTAATTAAATTTTCAGATTGATCAGTTGTGTTTCACCCATACACACATCACTGCTGGAAAAAATGCTCTGTGCATTGATAGGATAATATTAATATATCAGTGCCCCTAAGATGTGGGAGGTGGAACAATGTGCGGCTAGAATTTAAAAAGGAAAGTTCAAAAATAATAGCTACTTTGATGCAGAACTGATGTTTAAACAGTGTGGCTATAAAATCTGGCAACCAAAAGGTAATGTTACAATGAGAATAGTACTGCTTTATTAATAAATCAACGTACCAAGGTTGCATCCATAATTAAACAATATTTATACCACGGATAGGCGACTTCATCTGGTATCTATTATTACTTCATACTGAGCAGACGGTACTTCAATACTAGACCTTCCATGCTAGAACCTTTATGCTCCAAGCATCTTAAAGCATACTACATAAATTGAGTTAGAGACAAGTGAGATTAATAAACATAGTAAAGGGTAGTAGTTAAGAAACCACTACAACTCAAGGACATTTGAATGAGGCAAACAGAAAATGACAGTTTCCTCCTCTTAAATTTCAGTATTGTCTCCAAAGTTTTGATTTTCATTTGGCTTTCCTTCAGCATGGCACTCGACTAACTTCATGCTTAACAATGAAACCCTTATCTCACTCTGAGATGCTGAAATTCTGTGTCAACATCAGGAAGCACACAAAATTCTGCTCTGAGATTCAAACCCAAAAAGTCCAAGTTCAAAACAAAAAATGTTGTTATTGTAAATGGGCTTTGTAATTCAATCATAAGAACATTCAGTGGGATACTATTGCTTTGAAAGATAATGAGAATTCCAGTTCAATAACCTTGTTGTACAAGTACTGACATACACTCTGAAGATATTGAATCTGACACCAGATTTTATCCACATCTTTGAAGGAGACTAAGATGAACAAATTATAGCCTGGTTTTGTTTTTCTGTCTGCTACATATCTGCTGCAGTTCTCAAACAACTGGGCAGAATGCAATACCTTCATCTGAAGTCAGAAATTTCACCTAATGTTATCCAAAATTTCTGTTTTGTGGCAGAAGTCTGCAACTTACCCTCCATCCAGAAGAGAATCAATCTTAACCTTCGTTCTCCTGAAAACAGAGTGAATACTCCCAAATGTCTCCTCATCACTCTGGCTGATTCTGCATGAACTTTATGTTTTAGTATAGTGGGTGGAAGCAGGCCCCAGATAGCAAAGGTCAGATTGGTATAGAAGTATTGAGAAGACAAAGGGAATATTTATGTGAGAGAAGATAGAACTTTCTTCTTTTAGGACCTGGTATTTTGAATCCAAAAAGCTGTACACTGAGTTACTCACAAAAAGGCAGGATTCTTGTCCTATCAAGACTCAGTACATAACCAGAAAAGTAAAGGTAAGCATTATATCAAAATTCTTCCATACCCATCTAGGAATCACAGAATATTCTGAGTTGGAAGGGACCCACAACAATCATCAAGTCCAACTCTTGAGTGAGTGGCCCATACAGGGATAAAACCCACATTGGTGTTATCAGCACCATGCTCCAACCCGCTGAGGTAATCTCAGTGTATCTAAATCCATTTGAAATGTCAGATTAAACTCCTCTTCCTTTGTATCCTCTCCATTTACTTTTAAGTTTTATGGAGAGCACAGAGAAAAAGAATTCTCTTTCCTTTCAACCCCACCTACCAGCTAATCATTAGAAGGAATCATGGCTTATTCCCTCATAATCATTTTGTTTCTCGCATCAAACAGGGAAAAAAGACCCAACAGTAATTCTATACATCTGTCTCACACTGAGAATTTAAGGAAAAACATCCTGGAAGACCTCCCTTGTTGTCTAAATGTTTATAGTAATTCAATTAAATGAACATGAAGAAAAAGACAAACTTTATGAGGTTTACATGTGATTATATTATGACGGGGAGAGAAAATTGCTTTTCAACATCTTCAGGATAACAGTCAACAATAAAACAGAACTAAGAAATTGGGAAAGAAAACAATTTGTCAGAAGCTTTCCAAAGAAAATGCATAGTTTGAGATGACGTCTCTCCTCTGACATGAATGAAACAAGCAGTTGCATTGTTTATCACATAAGCATCTCACAGACTTTGGTAGGGAATGTCAGGTATGTAACAAACAATTACGTCCTCTACCTCTCCCTTCACAGTTCAGGAAACAAACTCAAGGAAAATATATTGCTTTTCTTATTTGATCCAGCATGCATACTGTAGACAAGAGCTGCCAAGCTTTCATGTTTTATATGTTTTCAAAACAAGATTCTTCTAAATATTTAAACTTAATAGTTATATGTAAATTGATGGTTTGACTATTGAAAGACAAAATTACCTTCCTACAAGCTGCAAAGTTTGATCTATAGCAATGCAATCTTCCTTCCTATATTCCTCTAGAAAAGATAAGGTCATAACTTATATTTTTAGATTCTTATGAAGTTTTTAAAAATCTGAGCTAAGGGAAGAAGAGAACTGGGTTGAGTTATATTTTTCTACAGTAACAGTAAAACTCTAGGAATAATTCTTTAATATACTCCTACTGATTCAAGATCAATTTTTTAAATAACCATAGAGCTGATTTATATCTACATTTCTTTCTGTCAGAAGATATTTGTTAAACAAAGCAAATTGTAAATGCCTTTCAACGATCTATTGTAGATTGCTCACTGTCCCCCAAAATATTTTCAATAAGAAAAAAAGATGGTAAATAGAACATGAAATCTACTCTTGCCTAGAACATTAATTTTATCAGTTTCAGAAAACCATTGCATTTAATTGCTGGTTGCTATCTTGAGTTTTAGAAATTGTAACAAGTGGATTTTTGCCATCTTTGACGAAACGCACACTATCTCTATTCACGTTTTCTGTTACACTCAATGATTTTATGAGCTTACCCCCAATATCTGGCCGAAGCTTATTGTCATATCCTTGAAGTAAGGAGTCCAGTATGTGAGTTACATCTCCTCCATGAATCTTTGGTGCAAGGACCCATGTTTTATTCACCATTAGATCTTCATCATCTTCATCATCTGCTTTATCAGCTCTATGTTGAGTGAATAAAAAAAAAAAGAAAAACAAGATTAGGGAAAACAACAAGAAACAGTGAGACTGAATACACAAGAGGTGAAGAAGAAAGAAATAAAATATTGAACACTATTTAGAGTACTTTATAAAATTCCAAATGCATTCTGGTGCCAACAGAAAAAGGTAGGCCCTTATTTAAAATACCAACATTTTGTTTTATGGTGGTAGAGAGTCTAAGCCAATAAACATGTTAATAGAGGCATTAACATATCACCCATACAGAAAAACTCAAGCCATGATTCAAACCCATAAAAGCAACAGTAGGCATCATCTTACTCTTAGCCTTTTCCTGTTTTAAAACACAAAGTGTAATTCCAAAGCTTTTCCCTACATGTACTTTTCAAGTCATGGTAAGTATTTCTAAGAGACGCTTAATCATAATAGATCTCGGTGTCAAGAGCATTAAGAGAATCTCTTTCCTAGTAGTTAGTCTCTCTTCTAACTATGATATAAAAAAATAAGACTTGTATAATTATTCAACTCCATTCACATTTTAAGAAAGCAAACAAACATTACATCCATGTGCTTTGACTAAACATTAGCAGAAGCTGCAGTCATGTGTCAACTACATATCTGCATGTATATATGGTACAGTTAACTGAAAGGAATGGCACACCATTTTAAGACCATTTGTTAGCTACCAATTTTATCAAGAGGAAACAAATGTATAAGGAAAACACACATTCATTTATCACCTATCTTTTAATTAGATAAGCAGCAATATATTGCTAATTACTAAGTCATTAAAAAAGAATTGCAATACCTTGGTTACATCTGAAAATTCACTCAGATATCATCAAAAGGTCAAAGAACGCCTGGAAGTAGTTTTCTTTCCATTTCAATCAAATGAGTATGTACTTCAGTATTCCTCCAGTGCTAAAAACTGCAATCTGTATTACTCATCTACTTTATTTCAAGGAACTGCTATGGGCTAGAGGTCAAGCAAAGTGCATCAGATTGATAGCAGTAACTCTGACAGTCGCACAACCTATCTTCACAAATGGGCACTGGCTAGCAATTGCAGAACATATGCAATCCCTATAAATCAGATCCAATGCTAACATAAGTACAATATTCCAGTAAAAGGAAGAAATTAAATTACTATCCTTGTGCCAATTTCTATTGTACACCAAAACTAAAAATGTAACTACTTTATTATAGAAAGGAATTTAAGGGGCTTCTAAGTTACATAGACATATTCTGCCCTCAAAACTAAGGCTGGTATTTTTCAGTAAATTTCCCACAGGAAAGAAAACCTCTAGTATGTTCCATGTGAAAAACAGACAGAAAAAGTCAGTAAAGGACAGAGAAAGAGTAGGCAAGCCTGGTTTCTACTGCAGTCCTTTGTGGGAATGCTTCAAACTGGTCTGTAACCGCAAGGCCTTGCATCAGCTCTTGGATAACACTAGCAAGTCTCACTGAAAATCACAGCTATCATGGCTGTGCAAACTGCTTGGTGGCTTTGGCATGCCTGTTTAATTTAGGAAGTGCGACAGAAACTTCAAGTCAACAGTGCCCCAACTCAACAGGTTCCCAGAGGATGAACTGTTTTGATATCCGGGCTTTCATACCTAGCTTGCTGCAAACAAGTTGAAAGAGTCTGTTAAAGCTGAAAGTAATATGACAGCTTCCCTGTAACAGTCTGAAAAGAACTTTCATACTTTTAAATTGAAATGCACTATAAAATACTTAATCTTTACTGCACTACATAGACATTACAGAAATGTCAGATATTAAATATTTAACATTTCCCATTAGCAGGATCCCACTAATGGGAGCACTAAAAGAAGTAGGAAGCTAAGGTTTGTAAATGTACACTTTTTTTCCCTCAAAGCTACCTATTGCCATCTCTTTCATGTTTTGTTACCACACAGCTTTTTTTAATGTATCTATTTATGGTCTACTTGCAATTTTTTGGCATCTAATTACTATACAAATTGGATTACAGTTGCTCAGAGTAGAGAGGCAATCCCGGCCTTTTCCCAGGGGCATTAAGATGATGAGGAGTAAAAGTTAATTTATAAGTAGCTCTCTACATACCCACTGCAAAACTGACCTTTTTCTTCTTCCTCTTTTTGTCCTCCATCCCATAAACAGCAGAAAGTACAGTGAAAAAACCAGAGCTCTGTACAGATCCAGGGCACCTGACTCACTGGATCAGCCCAGTTATTCGCAGAGAATTTGAAGTGATTGTGACACTATTTTGTCCTGATTTAATGTTCTTTACACAATGTTATTAAGAATAGCAGAGATTTAGCCAAAATGAAAAGTACAAATCATGTCACTACTAAGAAAAGCCAACAGGAGTTACATCCACAACACCTCCACTCACAGTTCCTTGAACATCTTGACCTTTTGAAGAGTTCTTAATTTTATTTATAGATTCCCAGGACAACTCAAGTGGGAAAAGGATCATGAGATGTGTCTCTAGTCCAGACTCCTACTCAAAGCAGGGCTGGCTCTGAGGTCAGAGTAATTCGCTCATGGCTTGAACAGGTTGGGTTTTGCAGACCTCCAAGGATAGAAGCTGCACAATCTCTCTCAGCAACCTAATCTCCACTTATCTCTTTTCCACAATTTACTATATTTGAATAAATTTTAAAATTGACAAGAAAAGAAATGTAAATACAAATCCATTTCAAATTTTCACTTTCTGTCTTGCTTGATTCGAGGCCCTCTGGTCCTCCTCCAATTTTAAAACTCTGAACGGCAAATAGGTATACAGCAACAGCTTAGAAAGCTATTAATGCAATTCCAGAGGGAGAGGGAAAAATTCCATCCCAGCATCTGAGAGTTTTTCTAGACACTAGTAAATAAATCCATTTAAGAAGACACTTTTATTAGAAGCAACCTTATTTACTTAGTGTCTGACAAGTTTTGGCTTGAAATGTGCATTTCCGACTATTTACATGGAACTATGTGATTTTATCTAGAAAATATTGTACACTGAAAAAAGTGCCACCCACTAGAAAAGAAATACAGTAGACTTCCATACTAATACACAAGGCTAACAAGAGCTTGTGACTCACTAATCCATTAGATAAACCAGCAAAGAGACCATCACAGATCAGATGATAATATAACCAAATGCGGAGGAACTGGATTACTGCTGTTCTACATGGTAGAACAGCTATTCTCACTATGTCTATTTCTATCCTACTGGGTTTTTCATCTTTGACTCCTAAGCCATAGCCACCAGTGTGCAACAACAGGACTGTGGTAAGAAGGAACAATGCAGGCTGGAAAAAGGAAGTGACCCAATCACAGAGAAAGTCTTCTGTATGCCCTCCAGGGAAGCAAAGCACACCACCCGTCAATTTGAATTCTCAGTCCAGGTGTTCTGGGGGGAGTTGCACAAAGTTCCCCAAAAAGACCACCTAGTGACATGAAGGCAACAGGACATTCCAGCAATGTCCAGAATTACCAGTCTTTGTCATGCTAAAGAGATTTGAATTAGTCTGTTTCAAAGATAGAAGTCCCTTGTACACAGTGAGCAGCTCAGTTGAGATGGTGTTACCAGCATCTAATCAAGCTTGCTTGACCATGTTCTTTAAAGAAACGTTCACTTTGGAAGACAAGAGGATTCAAAACTGTTACTCTTTTACCAAGTTACTGTGTATCTCCAGCTCTTTCTCCAGGGTTTGGAATGGGATAGAAGGAAAGACAGAAGGCAGCAAACTTCATTTCAAAGCAGAAAAGAAAATGTAAAATTGAGGTATACCATTCAATTATTTAGCAGCAGTTAACTTTGGCTGAGCACCTTTTTACTTCTTTGCCATTAAAATAAATCCAACAAACCTATGAAGATTAATGTCAATTAACTCAATTCTCACTGTAACAGTAGCGCTTTCCCCTCTCTCTCACAACCTCAGGAAGAAAGGCAAACTAAATTAAAGAGGAATTCTTTTCCTTTCCAAGTTCATCTAAAGGTTATTTCACTATACACAGAAGATAATGCTTGATCTTTTCTCCATTTACTATAAAATATATTTTTTCCAACAAAGTTCAGACAGTAGCTCTTTTTCAGAATGTCTGGAGAGACTGGGACTTAGAACAAAAATACAACATCAAACGTTAAAACGTTCCTGTTCATGGCACAGCACTACTTTACATCTATTACTGCAGGTGCTAATCCTGAATTTAATGATTTTATAAATAAGAAAGAGACCTCACCTCTTAAGATGCTTGTTGGCGTAACACTTCAGCTAGTCTCATAAACTCAACAGTAAACTGCATGTACACAGTTAACAGTAATTAGGCAAAAAGTGCCCCAATTATGCTCTCTGTCCTTCAACTAATTGGAGACATTACCATGACTAATAAATCCCTGAGCACAAGTGACTAATGACTAAATAAGTCTTTTCAACATCAGGCAACATGCTCATTTTCAGACATTAATGTCATAGGTCTTTGTTCTCCTTTAAATATGAGAAAAACCAATCAGATGAGCTTTGAGTTGCAATTAACATCTGTCAAGTTATGTAATGAATTGGGAAAAAAATTGATACAGTAAAAGTGTTCCTACTGCTATTTACATCATGCATGTCTAAGTATTACACACAGAAGTACACATATAGGATAAGTGGGAGTATTTAAACATGGCTAAGCACCAATTTAGTTGCCCATTCCTAGGCTCCTGTTCCCATCAAACACACACAAGGTATCCAGTCCTCCAAGCTGAGTTGATTTACAGGGAGCCCGTAGACTTCTAGAGCAGCAGAGACTTGGCAAGGAATATGAGGTATCTCCACTGATGCTTCATGTCTGCACACAAGCAAATCAATCAAGCCCTTGGTACCCGTGAGGTTCAGACAACCTGCACAGTGGCCTTGTCTATTTGGAGATAAAAAAATCCTTCCGTACAAGGAATATTCTGATAATCATTTAATAAATAAATAAGAAGAAAAGTCAATGTTTCAGATAATTTCTATGCTACAAGATGTGGAAGGAATATACCTTT